TTTCCCCTTCCCCCCTTCCCATTTCCCCCTTTTCCCCCTTTCCCATTTCCCCCTTTTCCCCCTTTCCCATTTCCCCCTTTTCCCCCTTTTCCTCTTTTCTTTTTCATCCGGTGCCGTCATGACGTCGGTCCCTCTGTTTCCTTTCATCTTTTCGCTCCATTTCTTTTCTTAATTCCGGTATTTTTCATTCTTACGTTGCAAAATTTTGTCATCTTTAAAGTTTATTCGCAAGTTTACTCTTTCCTGTTTCTTCCTCTTGACTTGAGAATTTTTCTTTTTCTTACTGGATTTTAATCCTCGAAGATAAGAGGCTTTTCTTCCCCGAAAGTCTGATACCAGAATCTTAAAATTCTAATGCTAAAATCCTAATGCTAAAATCCTAATGCTAAAATCCTAATGCTAAAATCCTAATGCTAAAATCCTAATGCTAAAATCCTAATACTAAAATCCTAATCCTAAAATCCTAATCCTAAAATTCGCCGGATTCTAAAATAAATCGACCAGTTGCGAGAGATTTCGATCGCGCCAAAATTCATCATCGTGGTTTACTTAGCCAAGGACAAGGACCTGGCGGAAGTGACAATTTTAGCAAAGTGGGAGAAATGTGCGAAATTGCGCAGCAAAACCCGCTGTCCAGAACTGCGAAGATCCTTGAATGGCACGGGTCACACCCTGTTCGGCTGATATTTGCACAGCGGCCGATTATCGCGTGACAGGGGCCGCCTTCGATTCCGTTCGAGGAAAGGGGCCGCCTTCGATTCGGTACGAGGGAGCATTCCCCCCCGCTCGTTTTAACCTCAATTCGTGGGAAACTGATGTAGAAACATTTTTGCTATTGCCAAAATGCCAAAAAAAAAATTGGCAACGTCGGGAAAGAAAAAGACAGAAATGGCACGATGACGACGTTTTGCACGGTTCTTGCATATCGCGTTAGATCTCATCCGAGCAGCAGCACGAAGCCTCGTTAGAGTTTCGCGAAGAGAATCCCTTCCTCTTTTTAATTATTGTCAAATGACTAATCAGAGAAAAAATTTAATTACTGCCTGAAATTCAATCAATTCGGGCATTAGCGAGAGCCTTCAGCTAAACGCGTTCCGTGATTGAATCTCGCCGAAGTAAAGATGGAAAGGGATAGAGAAGGGGGAAGGAAGGCCTGGGAAGGGAGGGAGAAGGCCTGGAAAGGGAGTAAAAAAAAAGGTGAAGGGAAACCTAATTTATCCATGGCGACGATCCGCCCCGATGCGAACCGGCTTTCAATCCTTGTTGACTCGGCGGGATTCCAGGAATCTCGGCTCGCTTTCATTCCAGGAATGACTAATGCCATGGCAATATTGGAGGGCAATTCTTGCTTCTTACAACTCCGATCCTCTCTCGTGCCCGATGCGAAACTTCATTACTTATAACTATTATATAAAACTATTTCCCGCCACACGACCGTTTTGAACCAGAACACGTTTAAGAATAAAATCAGAATAAATGAGAACTTAAAAATAAATAAATAAATTTAAGAATAAAAAAAAGGCGAGAGACAGGCGTGATGAGCGCGGCGACCCCGACGGGCTCCCGGACGTGAATGCAGACTTTGGACTCGGCTGTGCCGGGGATGTGCTCCCCGTAGAGGCGACGGGCTTCCTCCGCGTACCATTCGAAGAAGCTCGCCGAGAATTCCACTTCTCCCAGGCTCTCCTTCAGCGGTTTTCCCTGTTTCGCAGAAATTCGATTTAAATATATATGCATAAATGTATACTTATTTATGGGGGGGCGGGGACTCGGATGCGGTGGGGTATATGCATGAGGTTCCAGCGGTAAGAGTCAGAGGATTCCGCATTTCTGCGTCTCCAGATTTTTAGGAGGAATATTTTTTTTATGAGTTCGCCAAATCTAATATGCGTCGCTCGATTTGCATAATTCAATTCATAGGCGGCGCTTCGGTCCAATTGTGTACAGATTTTTTTTCTTCAAATTCCTGGAGGGGATTCTCTGCTCAGAAAAAAGTCTCTGAATGCGAAGTCGGTGAAGGGACCGGGAAACACCTAAATGTGCCAATGTGACAAAATTTTGCAAATTGAATTTTTTCAGGTCAAGGCAAGATATTCAAGAATTGCAAATAAATATTGTAAATTAATATTTCAAAATAATATTGCAAAATCGTGGACAATAGGCCTATGCTTTGAATTGCGTGTTTCTGGCTGCGACAGATTTCATTTCGAGCTGAATTCCCCGCAGTCTGAATAAAGTTGGAAAACTTATTTAGTGCATTTCTTGGAAACAGAAATGCTAAAATTACCAAATTTATCGACTGAATTTTAACATTCAAAATTCAGCAGAAATGCGTCACTTTGAGGAGAGCATTGATATTTTCGGCAGCCAAGATTGTTCTTTTATGAAGGGATGTGAAATTAATATTTTTTTAAGTTGTGCCGAAATATTTCCCGTTACAGGAAAAGTATTGGAAATTTTTTGAAAAAAAAAAATCCCTCTAATTTCTCCCATTACAGAAAATTTTTTGGGGGGAAATTTGTGAAAAATGTCCCACTGTGCCCCAGAGAAGCGAAACGTGCTCACGTTCTCTCGCGTCAGGATCCGGGCCAACTTCTCCTTGTTCTGGAGGAGGAGTCGATGGATCCTCTTCAGATAGGTTCCCCTGTCCTGAGATGGTCGGAGTCGTCTCAGAAACGTCTCAGAAATGTCTGAGAAATGTCTGAGAAATGAGTACCTTTGGGAAGAGATGTTTCCAGTGCAGGAAGGCCTCGTGAGCGGCAGTGATGGCGGCCTCGGTGTCTTCGACGGTGCAGTCGGCGACTGAGGCCAAGCCGAGTCCCGAGGCAGGGTCCGTCACCTGGTATCAGCGACAGAGGTCAAGAGTCAGCAACAGCGGTCACAGTTCAGCGACAGAGGTCAAGAGTCAGCGACAGCGGTCACAGCTCTGCGACAGTGGTCACAACTCTGCGACAGTGGTCACAACTCTGCGACAGTGGTCACAACTCTGCGACAGTGGTCACAACTCTGCGACGGCAGCCATGCGCCAGCGACAACGACCCGGAACGCGACCCACCTGAAACGTGGCTCCCGACGACGACGTCTTCCACGTCCCATTGATGAACGCCAACGTTGGCACCTCCTCGTGCGACGGAATCGTCGCCGCCATCTTCTCGGAAATAATTCACACCGAAATCACGCGCCACTCCCAAGGGAAGCCAATATATTTTTTGCAGTATGTTTGCACGATTTATCGACGCAACTTCCAAGATTGCAATCCATACTCGCTCCTTCGGAGATTGAGAGCATTTAATGACTTCAATGAGAATCTAGTTAATTACAAGTAATTACGCTTACCCTGACTTTATAATAACTAACTCAATGCCTTTAATTAATACTTTTATTTCCTTTAATATACTCAATGCCTTTTAATATTCCTACGTCCTTTGATATGCTCACGCCATTTTACTAATATACTCATGCCATTTAATCAATACACTCCATGCCATTTAATTAATATATTCCATGCCATTTAATTAATACACTCCATGCCATTTAATTAATATACTCCATGCCATTTAATTAATCTACTGCCCTGTCCTTTCTCGGTGATTTTGAGATGAGAAAAACGATTCACCATCTTCGATTTTTTTCCCCCGACTTAATTAAATACCCAGGAAATCCGATGCATTTCGATAAGAATTGCATAAGTCGCTACCTTTCCGCCAATTTTTGCTCGATACGTTTGCCAAATATCCTTTGCCTTTCACGTCCGTGCGGCGATATGCAAAATACGTAATTAAAGCCGGTTTCGGAGAAAATATTTAGTATAAAAAAGGGCAGTGTTCTGATGACGTTTATAAACTGTTTATAAGCTGTTTGTGAACAGTATGTTGCCACTTCACCCAATCATTTCTTGTCGATTTTCAAGTTATTTTATACAAGTTACTTTATCCACCTCGCATGACTACCTGCAAGTGGTAGCTTTGCCAGGTAGCTTTGCCGGGTAGCTTTGCCGGGTAGCTTTGCCGGATGGCTTTGCCGGGTGGCTTTGCCGGATGGCTTTGTCGGATGGCTTTGTCGGATGGCTTTGCCGGGTAGCTTTGCGGAGAGAACGAAACGCCCGAGTTCTTGGAAATTCGCCGAGATGGTGACGGAAGGAATCTGCAATGAATTTTGCGAAGGACTCGGCACTGAATCTAAGTGGAAATTCGACACGGACGGCACACGCGCTGCCTTCATTAATCCCCTCATTAATGCTCCCTCGTTAATGTCACCTCATTAATGCACTCGTCGCCTTGACATTGATCGGACGCATTATTCCGGATCAGGCTTCCGTATAATGCGTCCATAGATACGCTTCCCTGCCCTGGATTTCAATGTTATTCAAGGGCCTCGTAGGGAGGCAAGGGCGTTGCAGGGAGGCAAGGGCGTTACAGGGAGGCAAGGGCGTTATTTCCGGCAGGGATCGATCCCTTCCCTCGAGATTCAGGGCGCGTGAGGGAATTTTATTGGTTTTCTATATTACTCGCTGGGGTTTCTATTTCCTAGAGGATTTGCATGCAGATGCGGTTTGAGGGGATTTTGCAAAACTTTATTTGCTCGCAAGTGTGCAAAAAAAAACTCTGGCGGCGGTTGCAATGCGAATATTTTTTTTCGGAATTAATATATGTTTTATTTCGAAATTTATTCACGAAAATGAATGGATGCGAGGTCGGTCGGGGTTCCCGCGCGGATTCTGGTTATTCCGCAAAATCCAAAAATAGCGCATCTCCGAAAAGTGAGGCGACAGGAAAAGAGCAAAAATATCTCGGCAAATACCCGCCGAGTTTTTGCCCAAAATTTTGCAAAGAATCAAAATTTTAGTACAGCTCTTCGTTTAAAACAT